CTCGTCCGGGATAGAATTCATTTGACATTTGAGACCTATTGTGAAATTTTGCAGCAAGTTTAATGTGAAACCAGCAAAATGGTGTTTAAACTTGGGAAGTTTCTTAAGTCCCCTGACCCTGAGAGTTTCAATGAATTGCGCAAATCAGATTTATTGCAAATTTCTGCACATTTCAAACTTGAGGTCAAACCTGCTATGAGGAAATTTCAGCTTTTGAAATTCACTGTATTGATGAGGGAGTTTTTGGAAATGACGTTTTGGAAATGGTTGAAGAAGAATGTTCGGACCAATTGGAAATGAAAAAACATGAAATTCAGTTAAAAATTCAAAAAGAAGAAAATAGAAAACAGGAAGAATTAAATAGTCAAGAAATAGAATTCAGAAAATGGGAAATTGACAGGAAGAAATTGGAAACTGATGAAAGTAGATTGGAATTTGACAGAGAAATTGAGCTGAAAAAGCTTGAAAACCCTTCTCCTCCCTCAAACCATTCCTCTTTTGACATTGCAAGGCCTGCCAGACTGGTGCCCCTTTTAAAGAGAAAAAAGTAGACAAATACTTTCTACATTTTGAAAAAGTTGCTGAAATGTGGCCTAAGGAGTCATGGACTATGCTACTGCAAACTGCAAACTGTTTTAAAGGGTAAAGCTCAGGATGCTTATTCGGCCTTATCTATACAGGAAAGCTCAGATGATGATCTTGTCAAAAGGATCCATTATAAAGCTTCTGAGTTAGTGCCTGAAGCTTATTGCCAGACATTCAGAAATGCTCATTAAAGGGACAATGAGACTTTTGTAGAATTTGTTAGAGAAAAGGAAACTTTGTTTGACAGGTGGTGTGGTGTAAGGAAGAGACAGATTTTGATGGTTTGAGGCAGTTAGTTTTGATGGAGGATTTCAAGCAGAGTGTTCATTCTGATCCCAAGACTTACTTGGATGAACATAAGGTTGATGACTTACATGAGGCAGCGATGTTGGCAGATGATTATTGTTTGACTCACAAGAGTTCTTTTAGGTCTCTGGGTAATACCAAGTTTTCTGGCCAAAAGGGCTTTTCCCCGGGTAAGACTTCAGGACATGCAGGTTTCAGTGGTGTGAGGACAGGTTCAAATTCTTCTGACAAGCAGTCACATTCTTTTCAGTCTAAGCCGAAGTCTTCCAGTGGTTCTGATCCTGTTTGTGCATATTGTAAGAAGCCAGGTCATTTGATTTCTGCATGTTACAAACTCAAGTTTAAAAATCAGGCTGCAGGTTCCCCAAATGCTTTTGTGTCTATAGCACCTAAGCCTTTCTTTCCAGGTGGTTCTGAGGAGAGTTTTCTTTGTGAGAGTAAATTCCCAGATTCTGTAGTTCGGAAGGAGTATTTGCCCTTTGTTTCTAAGGGTTGTGTGTCGCTTATGGGAGATAATTCTACCCCACGGCCCGTTATTATCTTGAGGGATACTGGAGCTCTTCAATCTCTGATTTTAAAGGATATTTTGCCTTTTTCTGATGAGTCTTGAACAGCGAACATGGATGTTTTACTTCAGGGTATAGGTGGCAATTCTTCTGCTCCTCTCCATTTTGTGAATTTGACTTTCAGGTAAGGTGAAAGTTGGTGTTCTTGACTCTCTCCCAGTTCTGGTGTCCATTTGTTGATCGGTAATGATCTTATGGGGGTGCTGATCCCATTGTCACTGTTTATCGGAGAGTTCAGTTAGTACAGAAAAGTTGGAGGATGAATTTCTGGGTATTTTTCCTTCTTGTGCAGTGACTCATTCAATGTCGAAAGGCATTTCTTCCAAGACTTTCTTTGCCGAATGATTCCATTTATGATTTATCAGATACTTTCATAGATCATTCTTTTCATGAGGCAGAGGCTGGTGACTTATCTTCAAACAGTAGTAACTCTTCAGGTCTTCTTGATAAGTCTGATAGTTTGTCAGGTGGTGATCATATTCTTTCTAGGGAGCAGCTTATTAGTGCACAGGGTGAGGATGTTGAGTTAAATTATGACAGAAAGTCAAAAGAGAGAAATTTCATTTGTCGTGAGAAAGTGTTAGTCTTACTTCCCATTCCTGGTCAACCACTGAAAGCTACATGTCAAGGTCCATATGATTTTGACAAAAAGGTTAGGGACACAGACTATGTTGTCCTGATGCCTGGACGCCGTACGCAAAAGAGTTTGTGTCATGATTAAGAAATACCATGACAGGTTAGAAACCAAACAGGTCAATTGTATTGCCACACTCTCTCCAGTTACTGATTGTCTGATTGTACTAAAGACAATGGTGAACATGTTGACAATATTGATGATGGTTTAAGAAATGTGAAGTATGATGACCTTAGTGATAATGTTTCACCAAAGTTAAGAAATTCTGATATGATGGCTCACCTTGATGAGAAACTATCACATTTATCCCCTGAGCAGAAAGTTCAAATTTCAGATTTGATTCATGAGTTTTCTCATTTATTTCCTGATGAGCCTGGCCGATCTAATGTTGTTAGCCATGATATAGATGTAGGTGATTCTGTGCCTGTAAAACAACATCCATATCGGATGAATCCTGTGAAACGTGAGATTCTGCAGAAAAAAGTGAAATACATGCTGGACAATGACATTATTGAACCCAGTGACAGTCCGTGGAGTTCACCATGTGTTCTTGTGCCGAAGAGTGGTGGAGGTGGTTGGCGCTGCTGTGCTGATATGAAAGCTGTCAATGCACTCTCACGAACTGATTCTTATCCAATTCCGAGAGTGGACGGTTGCATTGATCGCATTGGTCAAGCTAGATATACATGTATAAGTAAGTTTGACATATTGAAGGGCTTCCACTCACAGACTGTGCAAAGAAAATATCGGCATTAGCTACACAAGATGGACTGCATCAATACAAAGTGATGCCGTTTGGTCTGAAGAACGCACCAGCAATGTTCCAGAGACTCGTCAACAATGTCACTTCTGGTCTTGATAGTGCCGAAGCTTACATGGATGATGTCATCAATTACGACATGGAGTGGGAAGGCCATCTGAAGAGAATTCGAACTTGTGCTTGCTTTGAAAGACTGTCTGAAAGAAAATTGACTGTGAATCTTGCAAAGTGAAGGCACAAGTAGAAATTTTAGGGCATGTTGTAGGGCACGGCCAGGTACAGCCAGTTCATGCTAAGGTTGAAGTAATTGTACATTTTCCAGTACCTCAGTCTAAGAGAGAACTCATGAGATTCTTGGGTATGGCAGGCTATTATAGAAAGTTTTGTCAAAATTTCTCAGATGTTGTATCACCACTTACCAACCTTTAAGGGAAAAGGTAAAATTCCAGTGGGATAGTAGTTGTAAGACTGCATTTGAAAAGTCAAAGCCATACTCATGAATTCTCCAGTATTGCAGGCACCAAATTTTGAGAAAGCATTTAAGTTACAAATTGATGCAAGTGATGTAGGTGCAGGTGCTGTCCTGATTCAAGAGGATAATTCAGGAATTGATCACCGAGTTTGTTATTTTTCCAAAAAGTTTGATAAGCATCAAAGAAATTATTCTACCATTGAGAAAGAGACATTAGATCTTTTGCTAGCTTTGCAGCATTTTTGAAGTGTACCTAGGTGCCACTACTTTTCCAATTGAAGTGTTTACTAATCACAATCCCTTGACTTTTCTTCACAAAATGAAGAACAAGAATCAAAGACTTATGAGGTGGAGTTTGACCTTGCAAGGGTTCAATCTTGTGATTAGACACATTAAAGGCAAAGACAATGTTTGTGCTGATGCACTTTCAGGGTTGTAAATGTGTAATGACTTGATGATGCTGTATGTTTGTATCTCCATTATATCATAGTAATTCTGCAAGATGTTTCTCATGTTATTCATATTATGTCATTCAGTTAATTATTATGTTAGTTATGTTGCTCAAGGGGGGAGTGTTATGAGAGTTTTTTTTTTGTAATTTGTAATATCACATTGATTAAGTGATAGTTATTATGGGTCACGATGTCTTAAGTGTGAGTTTGGCTCGCATCTCGCATCATATATATATTCAATGGCAATAGTATTTGTAGCGGCACGCCTTTTTGATAGCGCTTCAGAGTTGCCTCCCTTGACAATCTTGTTTATTTCCGGCTCTCGTCATGCCGTGGAGCTTTCCATAACATTCTGAGAGGATAATGATGGAGCCTAGCTTTGCTAGAATGCTCGAGAACTGTGTAAGAGCTATATAGAGGCTGGTTGTTGAGTTGTGCGACCGAACTTTCACATGATTGGATTTATATACATCTGTCTGCCATCATTAAGTTGATAAATGTTTCAAGACCAACCGTGCTAGTCTATTCAACTGCTGTCATTGTAAACAACCTTCATTCAGTATATCTGTTCTCACTGTAAATATCAAGACCATGGTGAGTTAATATTTTATATTTGTGACCCAATATTTTATATTTGTACTAGAAATCTGTATTGTCATTCATTGTAGCTTGCTCATCGTTTATTCAATATATAATTGAATATTTTAGACTTGTCTGTGTTCAATTTTGCTGGTTCAAAGTGGACTCCTAAACCTTTTGTCACGGCAAATTATTAACCGTAACAGTACAATGTGTGAAGTTTTGCGATTATTTACAGCTGCCATATAGCTGCAATATTGTTGAGTGTGGCGTTAAACAACAAACAAACAAACCACCAATGTTACGTGGAACTACAACAGTGATGTCACTGGACACACACGTTGTATACTGCTGTAGGCCATGCAGCTCCCCTTTTTATTTAAATCCTACAAAACTTTATATACACATTCATTTCAATACACTCGTGTGTGACATGAATTCAAGACAAATCACAAAACTAACGAAAACATATTTCATCGAGGATTGTCTTCATCCATCCAGTCATTCAATATCAGCTAGTTATTTTCTGAAAATACGTATTTTCGCTTGTTAGGACAGACAAGAGAGTTTTGTTGACCTGTGCTGAACTGCGTCTTCAGAGGGTACAGTTGAACACTGAACGCAGTCGTATATTAAGAACATCTACCTACCTGAGGTATCCTTATGTTCCCATCACACACCTTGTAGTCGCTGTCGCTGCATAAATTGGCTGCACTCGCCTCGTCCACGTTCAATACTATGACGCCAACGACGACATACTGCAACAGCTGCGTCCCCATTCCTTTATACGACTTCATCAATAACGAGGTAAATGTGCCACCATTTCACCTATTCCTTTTGTTGACATTGTTCTCAGGTCCGTTCTCTGGCTAACATAACTAGTAGATATATTTAGAGATTTGAATCAAATGTCAAAAATAGTGCATTAATTTCTATCATATGGTTGTGATAAATTGTTTTAGTTATTTAATCGAAGTCAAAAGAAGGATATTTAATACACAGCTGGTTCCTCTTTATAACGGTAACGTATTTGGTGTGGGTGTATAGTTTTGAGGAAATATATTTGAAAATATCAGAGTAGTTTAAGATGAATATTCTTTCTACCCTTAACTTCAGAAACTACAGCTGGGAATATAGTTTGTCTACTTTCTTGACGGCCACAGTGTGGATCATTGATGTAATGAAACAGTAATTACTCGATGGACCAGATGCCACATCAGCCGATCACATTACACGTTAACAATCGTTAAGTCAGAATAGAAACTGTTATTGTTCCCAAATCAACAGGTACTCGAGGCCGACGCGGTCAGCGTTAAGGAGAACACCGAGGCCTGGCCGGCTCTGAGTTGGGCTTCCATGTTAAACAGCATGTGTACGAAATACAGGGTTACTGGAATAGATGAGGTGCGGGCCTCTCTCTCTCTCTCGTTGCTGTAGAAAGTTTAAGCGGAGTCATTGGTCAATAAGCGGTTTTCATTGAAAACAAATACCACCACTTCCTTCTGCTCCAGCCGTTATGCTGGTAACGGTAAAAGCCGAACGATCCGGAATGAAACATGTGCATGATCACTTGACTGGGTGAGAATACGTCATTGTATGCCGCTTTCATCAATATTCACGATATCTCATGACGGAGAAACGAAGAACCTTAAACGTTTGCTGGGATTACAAAGAGTTAATTACGAGGGGAGGTAAAACAGGTTTGAGAACTCACTACCTAAAGTTGTGAAACAGCTCTGCCCCTAGTGGTACTGCATACATTCATGAGAAAGTTACACCACCTCGCAACACACAGTATTAATATTGTGATAACTGGAAGGGAGATACCCTACTGATATCATGGAGAATTCTAAAACTGAGTACAGAGCTGTATGTAACATATTATGGAATGTTCAGACGATCAATCTAAACAACATATTTCAGATCAGTTCACCTGAAGGAAATTCAGGAACACATAGCTTCAGAGTGATAGCATTGTCTTGTTTATCATTAAAATGTTAAGGGAAGTTTGGATGACAATATGCTTGTGTTCCAGAACTTGGACTGAACTGAAACACCCCTGATAATCTCTGCTAGTGTCTACACCCGATGTGGGTGGCGGGGTATCCTATGGCTGTCGACACGCCGAAGACCCGGGTTCGATTCTCCACATGGGTAAAATGCGTGAAGCCCATTTCTGGTTGCCACCACCCCACCCCACCGATATTGCTAAAAGCGGCGTAAAACCATACTCACTCAATCTAAGTGTGTCTTCGTAAGAGATACAGGTTCACATGTAGCTCATGCCTATCATGGGAATGAACTTGAGTCCAGTATGGCCGTACAGACATGTGGTCCCACTGAGATACCATGCCGACGGTTAACATGGATGCTCCAATCAGACACACTATACTGATTCAAAGCTGGCCAGTCCTTGTGTTACTCCGCTGACGCCGAGTGCCAGGCAAGGTAACAAAAACGACCATGTATTTAGGTCGTTTCATATACGACCAGGGAATAGAACTACCGACTTTCCAGAGGAGACGCTCTACCCACTCGACTACCATGGTGGCAGCAGCTGCCGCCCACAATGATGAGTGTGATATAGGCTACTCCTAACATTTGGTGGTGTAGGCCTTCTGCTCGTAACAAATGTCATAGATGTCAATTTCGATTATCCCAACACACACACACACACGCACGCACGCATGCACGCACGCACGCACACACACACGCACACACGCACGCACGCACCAAAAAAAACTGAAAAGCGTTGTGATTGTAAAGCATTGTGTTTACTTATGGCCAAAACACAACAGATGTCATACGCTGCTTGCGTGTTACGTGCCTCGCCCAACGTAGAGGACTGAGTCGATAGCACGCAGTCATGTCTTCTCCTGTTCCCAACAGTGCACATATCCTACAGCGTCAAAATATACTTCATGATTCAGGGCACGCAATAGCAAAACCTTCATCCCTATAAAGGATAGTAAAACTGCCTCATTTCTGCTTGATTATATGTATGACAAGAGTATTCACAGTCAATCATAACCTTGTTGAATTACGTTAAAACTAGATTTGTAACATGTGGCTACCACTCATTTTCGATATTCCTCAGAATTAAGGCAAAGAATTGATAATTGCAACGGTATTTGATATTTTAAAAGAACAATTTTTGCTGTCATTGCGAGGTGATGTTTATAATTCATCTAAAGGTTTTTATTATTCTTAGGATTTCCCATGTTTTGACCAACATCTTTTATTGAATGAAACGTTTATAAACGAATACTATATTTTAGAACAAGCAACCATAATTTACCAAATTATAATGTAAAAGGGACGATATTATAATATCCCTCGTCAAGGAAGATTATGTATTAAGTGTAACTCTAGACTTATCAGAGATGAATTCCACTATCTATGTGATTGTACTGCTTTATCAACTCAACGTAGAGTATTATTACCAATGTCCATCTTTAGTAAATTATAAGAAACTGATGTGTGATGGGAATATTAAGATTATTGTTCAAGATATGATTTGCCATCTTGTAGTAAGGGTTATGTAACTCATGTACTACCGGTGGCTGTAACTTGGAGTGAATAAAGACTGATTGATTAATTATACCGTAATGAACTTGTCCATGCAATGCCATTGTCAACAACAAGGAATAATTTCAGACTTATAGTAGACTTGTAGTTTATTTTCTATTTACGAACATAATAAAAAAATGGATGACAAATATTCCTGGAGAAGAGCAGCATCAGCAGCATCATATATGACCAATCTTGATATACTTCATCCATATGAGCAATCTTGATATATCTTCATCATATATGAGCAATCTTGATATATCTTCATCATATATGAGCAATCTTGATATATATTCATCATATATGAGCAATCTTGATATATCTTCATCATATATGATCAATCTTGATATATCTTTCATCATATATCTTCATCATATATGAGCAATCTTGATATATATTCATCATATATATCTTGATATATCATCATATATATGAGCAATCTTGATATATCTTCATCATATATGAGCAATCTTGATATATTTCATCATATATGAGCAATCTTGATATATCTTCATCATATATGAGCAATCTTGATATATCTTCATCATATATGAGCAATCTTGATAATCTTCATATATGAGCAATCTTGATATTCATCATATATGAGCAATGATATTGATATATGATATATCTTCATCAATCTTGATATATTTTCATCATATATGAGCAATCTTGATATATATCTTCATCATATATGAGCAATCTTGATATATCTTCATCATATATGAGCAATCTTGATATATCTTCATCTTGATATATATGAGCAATCTTGATATATCCATCATATCATCTTGATATATATATGAGAAATCTTGATATATCCTCATCATATATGAGCAATCTTGATATATCTTCATCATATATGAGCAATCGTGATATATCTTCATCATATATGAGCAATCTTGATATATCTTCATCATATGTCCAATCTTGATATATCTTCATCATATATGAGCCATCTTGATATATATTCATCATATATGAGCAATCTTGATATATCTTCATCATATATGAGCAATCTTGATATATCTTCATCATATATGAGCAATCTTGATATATCTTCATCATATATGAGCAATCTTGATATATATTCATCATATATGAGCAATCGTGATATATCTTCATCATATATGAGCAATCTTGATATATCCTCATCATATATGAGCAATCTTGATATATCTTCCTCATATATGAGCAATCTTGATATATCTTCCTCATATGAGCAATCCTCATATATGAGCAATCTTGATATATATTCCTCATATATGAGCTGAACAGACGCAATTAACTCAGGAATCTTGTTTCTTTGAAATTTTCTGGCGGATGAATGTGTGGAGACTTGTTCCTGACAAATGCACCAATAGTGGTGCACCAACAGTTGTGCATTTGCCAGAACAGCCAGCAGTAACACCCTTCCAGTGGATACATGTAAGTCGTCTGTTGTTCAGTCTCCACCTGCAGCTAGCAAGTAAGACCTGTTTCCCTCCAGCTGTAACTCTACGAACTCGACACGGGTTAGCCGTCATCAAACTTTGTAACCATTCATTTACTGTTTCCATATTTATATGATATTCTGTTACAGATGTGGAGAAGTTGATCTTGTTACGTCAGTTAATTTTATTGTCTGGCTTGCTCACTAGCTGCTCGTGGAGTTTAGATAACATTTATATAAGACCAAAAGTGTAACTTGACTCCCAATAGTAAATTGGTATTTGACCGAAGTATTTGACCTGGTATTTGACGGATTACTAGAAAACGGAGTGTGAAAACGCTACCTGAAACGTTCAGCTCAGTACTACATTATTGACAGTACCCGAGAGAAATCTGCCCCATAACAACTTACTGTCGAAGACTGAATTTTGAATGACTGTTGGCGACTCCCAAAACAGTTCTAGCGATGCTTGAAGGTAAAGCCATGTCTTGACAAGGGTTTTAACTCCTGTGCGCGGACGTCGTAGAGAACAACCTGTCCTGTAATACAATAGCCTGATAAAGATGCCCAAATATGTTTATCTTAAAAGAAGCAAAGCCCAAATAGCAAAATAACAACGGAACCAATACGGAAGATGTAGACATCAAAACGATGCCCTGAACTTAAGCTATCCGCCGGTACCACTAGAGGTTTACATTCAGATATATACCATATAAACAGCAACATAATCCTGCGTGAAAATCAAAGTTACAAAACCATTTTCAATAAATGTAATAAGGTAGCAACTATATGTGAGATAACAGTGAGTGAGTTTAGTTTTACGCCGCACTCGGCAATATTCAAGCGGCGGTCTGTAAATAATCGAGTCTGGACCAGACAATCCAGTGATCAACAGCATGAGCATCGATCTGCGCAACTGGGAACCGATGACATGTATCAACCAAGCCAGCGAGCCTGACCACCCGATCACGTTAGTCGCCTCTTACGACAAGCATGGGTTACTGATGGCTCGCTCTAACCCGGACCTTCACGAGGGGAGACAAGCATTGGTTACTGATGGCTCGCTCTAACCCGGACCTTCACGAGGGGAGACAAGCATGGTTTACTGAAGGCTCGTTCTAACCCGGACCTTCACGGGTGTGAGACAACAGATATCAAACATATACATGATAACATTGAGCGATTATACAGCGAGAGAATATATACTCGGCGTCCTTAATGGAGGATCAAGCTATTGGTAACACTATTTCTTAAAAGTTTAAAAATCTTCGTTTTTGTTTGAAATATATACAACGTCCGATACATTCTGTTACCAGTGCTGTTTGAACTTCTTGTCTGTATGTCACGATGTGTCACGTTTGTCAACACATTAAACATTACGATGACACTCTTCGTTCTATTATTTCTGAGGAACTTTTCTTTACATGTGCTATATATCATGTGACCCTTTATTAATGACGCCTAGTATATTTACAGTCACATATTATCAAACAATGAATGTACAGGACTTCGACGCCCGCCGGACTTTGCCGAACGGCTATCTTCATTTCATTACTTGATCAAGATTAATGTTTTGTGATGATACACAGACATTAGGCATTTCTGTTCTCTGGTAATGTTTAAAGAATTGTATTAGAAAAAAGCAAAATGTCAACAAACAGCTGTTGCAGCAATATGTGCCGATATCCTCAATGCATACAGGTTCCACCACGACGCCGGTCATATGTCGCTGTGATGAGCTTAGAGAACTAAAATAACTGGTGGCATAGCCGATGAACTTACACGAAACATACAACATGGCTGCCATTGTAAGACGTCAATTCCATATCCTATGCCAGCGACATTGATTTCTGAAAGTTATTAATGTCAAATTTACCGGACATTTTGAAAGGCGACGTTTTGTACCTTATTCGGGTAGCACCATTTCCTTCCTGCCTGCAGCAAACTGGTGGGAACAAATCATGGGTGGATCGAACCTGATACGATCTTCTTTATACAATTATAGTACAGTACAGTTTTGTCTGCATATGTATTTCAGGTTTGGCATTTGTTCATAGAAAGTTACATTAAGATGTGCCCGGCCTGCTTGCTCTTCCCTGATCTTTTCAGACAGCCATTCTTCCATACAGTCCAGTGTCTGGTTCTGATAGTTTATATAAAACTTATTTGCAAACAGTTCTCGGCGTGTCGTCAACAAAGGGAGATCACCCACGCCAAAAATGCAGATTTCACGCACGCGCTTCCCGTGACATGGCCAAGCAAAGGATCTTTCAGGAGCGTTCGGTCCCCAGTTTTTGAATCGAGCAATGTAAGGTTTACTGTCGTAATCTGTGGCACAGTCGTCACCTGAAACAATGAATTAAAGTAGTGAACAGGCGTTCATGTGGCAGTGTAAGATCAAGTAGGACAGGTAGCGTTCTGTATGAGTGAGTGAGTTAGATGGGTTAATTCTGCTTAAAGCAGTAGCTCATGATCCGGTCACACTCGCTGACTTGGTTCATGTCATCGTATCCGAATTGTGTATATCGATACGCATGATGTTAATAACTGGATTGTCTGCCGCGTGCAACAATACAAACCGAAACATGAATCTCATTAACCCATTCAGACAATGACCTACTTTTCAGCCGATCCGAATTTTCTCGTGTGAAAGTGAAAAGAGACATCACAAACAACTATGGTTACACTGAATTCCAATTCCTTGTTTCATAAGAAAATGATATTTACAAGTTAATTTAAACTTTAATAACATCGTATTTCTATATTTTATGGCGAGGTGTAGGCAGCATTAGGTCGTAAAATGATTCAAAATTCCTCTGGATCACTGGTTACACCTGTTATGTGTTCTTTGCGCTTAATTCAGTGTAGTTTTGTTACGCACAATGTGATTGACATAATATCAAGTCCGTACCAGACCGCAAAACTTTTCTAGCGGCAGAGCCTCGTTTTGAGATTTCCACGATTTCCAGGTTTCCGTCTGTCAGAGCACGGTGTACGACAGAGCACGCTGCATGACGTGTTTGTAAGGGTCAGAATGAGCGTAGTGGTGCAATATACAAGTGCTTAGATGTATCAAATAACACTGATTAATATTTATGTATCCAGTTGAATGAATTGGTCTCGAAATTCTGGACTGGTTATTATACTATGTTGCGCAATAGGACGAAACCCAGTCAGCAGGAAACGAGACTGTTGTGTAATCAATGTTTTGACTTGACCCGAGATGTCAGTGTTATGTCTGAGGAAGTTATGCAGGTCTCAGACATTTACCACTTTTGTGAAATCAAAAAAGCATTGGTATGGCGCTGACAAACCTAAGAACATAATCGGTACGAATCAGGATTCGAACCCAGAACTGAAGGTAGAAAGAAAGGTCTGATCTCGGTCGCAACAAACACAATAGTCACGGAAGTGTGTTGGGCACTTGATAAAATAGAAAAAAACACTGCCGTTTGTTCAATTGAATTTTGATTTTCAGAGAAAATGGACATAGTATACTTTATGTGTTGCGATATTTCAGCACTAACACCACGGAAGATATCATAAATGGTTCCCACGCACGTGGAGAACTAAACCCAAACTTTCGGCGCGACAAGCAATTCATTCAACACTTGGCTATCTTGTTTTTTAAAAACAACTTTTCTGCTTTTCTGGAAAAACCTTTGCCGACCTTAGTCATGCAGCAAACCCTCGTGATCTGTTCTGCAAAACTATAGTTTCTCACTCACTCACTCTCTCTCAGCCATTCACCCTTTCAAGTACTCAATCACAAATCTATTCACCATTCGCGCACTCACCCACACACTCAATAACTCACTCACTCACTCTCTCACTCTTTAATACGTACATATTGGTTCCATGCGGGCGTCCTTCTGAAATCAGACATACAGACTCACGCACACACTCAATAACTCATTCACTCACTCACTCAACCCACCCACTCATCCACCCATCGAATCAGTCCCCTATCCATTACAAAACTCACTCACTCATTCACTCAGCTGGACGTTCACCTAAAAACGAGCCGGGGATCCTTAATAGGGGGCTGTGGTTTAACGAAGGAAAGAACGTCTCGTCTGGTATCCTTGTCTTTCTCAGCCATATTTTAAACTTGTGGACAACTGGGCTGTGTAACGCATAGCCGACAAACTCCCTGGACACTAGGACGTGAGTATTTCCCTTGTGTAGGTTGATTCCGACTGGAGGCGGTCCTGCTCGACCCCATCGAATGCGCTTCCACTTTTCCCTGGCAACATCAAAGGGAGAAAACTAGCTTATATATCTTATCTTGTATGTGTGTTGTATTTATGCCGCACTCAGCAATATTGCAGCTGTAACACCACGACATGTAAATAATTGACACTCGACCAGATAAACCAGTGGATGTTATCCTCGGCTGTGAATCACGCCGTCAGCAGTGACTGACAGAATGTATCCACCTGATCCAGTTTGTGGTGGGACGCTGAGGGTTCACCACGAATCCGGATAATGATTACAAACATCGACTTTGATATATTTATATTTCTACTTAACATACGACCCTCCCTTCTGGAAGTTGTTTTCCCCTCCATGTATGAAGTATAGCAGCAAGTGTTGTTCCGTTGACATTCACACTGACTACATATTCTACCGGGTACCCATGAGTGAGATAGATAGTCCAGCAAAATTATTCCCAATGTTTTCCATCGAAACGATCGTGAACCCGTAAAGATCCGGGTTACATTTGGTCTTCATAAACCTGTGTTCGTCGTATGAGGCGACTAGAGGGATATGGTAGTCAGACTCGCTGTCTTGGTTGGCAGATGTCATCGCATCCCAATTGTGTAGATCCATGCTTGTGATGTTAATCACTGGATTGTCTGCCGAGTGCGGCATTAAACAACACTGGAATGTCTGGTTCAGACTCAACCCAAGACTCACTCGAATTCCCTGGATACTGTATACTATGAAAACAAACAGACTTACACTTCTTTCTCGGCATCAACTATATTGGCACCTCTCAGGGTCTTCAGAATCCTGACAATCTCACGGTTTGTTTTGAGAGGAAACTCAGTACCAGACAGGTTTATAAAATACCTCCAGGAAGGATACGCCCACAGGTCCTTCATGCATTTTACATCCGCTTTCAGAACAGAATATGTTCCCCACCTCACATTGATCCGCACAGATGCTAGAAACACATTGGGCAGACAATCCACAACAGCTTTAATAGCACTGAAGTCTGCCTCATACATCTTCTTGTCCACGTGTACACAATAGTAATTAGATGGCCTATAAATGGCTCTGAGGAGCCTCTCCACTTGCTCCACGTCTTTGTACATCAGTATGCTAAATGCAAGAGGGAACTCAGTCTCCTCAGCACTAACGTCCATGATGTAGCCTCTCTGGTTTAAGAACCTGGTACAGTTCCTGGTCATATGAGTATATGGCAGTGATGGCTTGTAGGGATGCGCCTCGCCGTACAGTATGGCCTCTTGTATTTGACTCGTGTTTCCAGCTATAAGGTCTCGGCACCGTGGCTTCACATGCTGTGTGAAATTTTTGTTCTTATTGCTGTTGGTCGTCAGATTAATCCTGATCTTGTTCCTGTTCTTGTTCCCGTCCATATTTTTGTGGGATTTGGGTTCATTCTTTTCACTTTCAATTTTGCCAAACTGTGTTATGTTCGGCAGTGGTTTAAAATGCAATTCGTTTTTACCATAGACCTTTATATCTAAAGTCTTTGGAGAACCAGTTTGGTGACTATTTCCTTCAGGAACATTATTTTTTATGTCTTTGGCATAATGTTTGATATTTGTTACAACAGATTTGTTTGTTCCAGTTGCTATGGTAATATTTTCAGTGACCAATGAGGTGGACATAACCAAACTGATTTGCCGTTCTACGTCTCTCTTCGATCGTAAGACGTGATTGTGTCGTGCGGCATGTTTGTATATCAGTACGTGGTTAACACTCAGCATTGCACCGATCAAGAAAAATAGGCAAATGGCGCTTCTCGTATTTGGAGACGGGACCAGACGATACATCTGCAAAATAATATATATTCGCATTCAGTACCAAAACTCATATACGTAGGACGAATGTAGGATGCCAATACGTGGATCCTAGCACTCCTTATGGTACGGTCCAAGTGGCGATCTCAGACACGACCAACTCGACCCCCAGCAGCGACCTCGAGTAGCGCAAGGTCGCCATGGGACCGCACCACTGTTCAAAGTCGAACTGAAATTGAACTAAGGTCGTTACGAGGTCGTTATGAGGTCGTTGTGAGGTCGACTCAGGTCGAGATACCCCCCAGGTCGAGACAAGTCGAGTAGTTTGCGAGGTCGAGTCGGTTGAGGTCCCGAGATCGCCACTGGGACCGCACCACTAAGGAAGTAACTCGACACGACAAAATATAATCTTCGATCATTGGGCCACCAGTGAATAGTGAACTATAATACTTACCTTTCATTTGATGTCCCACCCATTCAGTCAGGATCAGGTCAGTCTTGGGATGAATCATTCAGTCGAACTCACGATTTACTCCATGTTTCAACACCCGTCGAAAGATGCTGGGCGGTACAACTCGCCAACAGTGTAAACCTACGTATGTTGTGAACGTGTTGGACAAAAGCCAAACTACAATCGACATAGTAACATATGTTCACCAGTATAATACTGTGACTTCACAGCGCAAGCACGTACAATGGGGCATTATCGATGGTTTCAGTGGTCTGGCGTAACGTCAACAATACGGTCAGTATGAATTCCTGTGGCTATGTAATATCATGTAATACAACACCATGTGGTCGATATAGGGTTGTACACATGGGATCATCTGTCAGTGCATATGTACTTAGTCAGTGACCAGGCAGACTAATGTGGCCAGCATGAGCAACTATAAGCCTGGTAACACCTGAAACTGCCCAAATTGCATTTGAATATAGTTACCAAGCGACTTATTCTTGACATACCAGTCGATCAGGTGCCTCGGCTGATTGTACCCCAATCACTGGAATGCCCAGAATCGATTACTTAGAGTGCTGTCTTAAAGGCACTATATCATACCACACTTCTCTAAACATAAATAATGCATTTCTCTCAAGAATACTAACTGTCAGCCTTCAGGGAAGCTACAGTTGCCAGCAATATTCCCGCTATATGATGACGTTATGTGAATGATCTAGTGTTGTCCAGGCAATCCAGTCACTGGCATCATGAGGGTGGATATACGCAATGCGCTGACATGCATCAAACATGCCACCGAGTGGGACCATCCGATCCCTTTACGGCTGCTGAAGATCGATTCTAACCCTTACTTCAATGGTCTCATTTGTTAGGAGGGCGGGGTTGAAAAATAAACATCTGACACACATTTTCTGACTATGAAGGCAACCTCAAAGCAGTTTTAGAAATACATCCGTGGTATAATTACGTAGTAAGGATGAACATGTTGTCATTATATGTAGACAGGCCACAACAACAATAATGTTGACATCGATAGGAATACGCTGCTAAAATGACGTCAAAGTTCAGATCAAAAGATCATGACACTTGTCTCACGATACAGCAGCGAACGTCAAAATACAAGGGGCAAGGTATTTGCCTCACGATACAGCAGCCAACGTCAAAATACAACGGGCAAGATACTTGTCTCACGATACAGCAGCCAACGTCAAAATACAACGGGCAAGATACTTGTCTTATGATACAACAGTCAACGTCAAAATACAAGGGGCAAAGTACTTGTCTCACGATACAACAGCCAACGTCAGGGGCAAGGTACTTGTCTCACGATACAGCAGCCAACGTCAAAATACAAGGGGCAAGGTACTTGTCTCACGATACAGCAGCCAACGTCAGGGGCAAGGTATTTGTCTCACGATACAACAGCCAACGTCAGGGGCAAGGTATTTGTCTCACGATACAACAGCCAACGTCAGGGGCAAGGTACAACAGTCAACGTCAAAATACAAGGGGCAAGGTACTTGTCTCACGATACAACAGCCAACGTCAAAATACAAGGGGCAAGGTACTTGTCTCACGATACAACAGCCAACGTCAGGGGCAAGGTACTCGTCTCACGATGCAACAGCCAACGTCAGGGGCAAGGTACTTGTCTCACGATACAACAGCCAGGATACTTGTACAAAGATACAAAGCCAGGATACATGTACCTAGATGCAATAGCCAGGATATTTGCCCAAAGATACAACAGCCAGGATACTTGTACCAAGATACAACAGCCAGGATACTTGTACAAAGATACAACAGCCAGGATGCTCGTACAAAGATACAACAGCCAGGATACTTGTCCAAAGATACAACAGTCAGGATACTTGTACAAAGATACAACAGTCAGGATACTTGTAGAAAGATACAACAGTCAGGATACTTGTACAAAGATACAACAGTCAGGTGGAGTCTACTAATGCCTACAGTGAATAATGAATAATGCCTACAGTGTTAAATAAACAACTTTACGCACCAGTGCTGCTGATTGCACCTGCCTTCAACCTTTCAATAAAGTGGCATGGTCCTATTTCAAAGTGCACTAATGCCTACAGTATATAGAAAACAGTAACTTTCTATGTTGAGAGACATTTTATTTGGTCATTCATATACATATGTACATTCATATACATATCTTTCACATTGTTGTCATATTTTTCTTAATTTTCTTAAACTTTATTCATATCTTTCACATAGTAGTTTGTTTTGAGATAAATAAATTTACATAAATAAACATAATCATTTATTTGGATTAAAATGTAATTAAAACTTAATTTGATTCATGATTATATATACATATATACATCTTTCACACAGTCAACTACCACATTCATTAATAAAGTCATTGTGGTAACCAAAAGTAATTTACATGTATACACACAGTTTCACACATTCATCAACATAGTCATTTGGTTTTCAAGCTAGCTTGATCAAATATCCTGCAGCAGTCAGGAATTCCAGGGGTGTCTTGATACCAGATGTCAGCTGGGCCTTCAGACGAGTGAGTCTCTGGTCAATTTCTGTGTACGTCCTCTTGCGGGGTGGGGGACGGGCGCCATGAGCCATCTGCACCAGCTTATTTCTCTCCGCTTTCTCCAGCTTCTGCAGAACCTTCACAAGAGCGAAAATGTTCGGGTGGGCTCTCTGGACGGTCTTGTTGAGATGCGAATGCCAACCCTCGAGATGATTGTTCGTCCTTGGGCCGCTGGTGTCGTGGTGATTCCATAGTCCGGCTCGGAACCGTGCATGGTCGTCTACCCAGGTGCTGGTGATGTAGTCCTGGAACTCATCCTTCTGTCCAATGGCAGGGGCGTCGTCCATGACCTCTATCCAGGCATTTTGTACCATGGCCACTGGGAGGAGGGGGAGTGCTGCTGCTCGTCGGACCCATCTGTGGACCTCAGGATCCTGCTGGTAGGCTTCGCTGAAGCCGAGGTTCTGTACTTTCCTCCAGAGAGCCTGGCTGTAGTGGAAATAGCATCCACGGACGTCGCAGTTGGGGAAGACGGTCTCAACAGCGTTGATGGCAGCGATTTCGAAATCCGTCTGGATGACATCAGGCTGAAGGGGCGATCCCGTTGTCTGCTGGATCTTGTCGTTCAGGAGACGTAGCAGGCGTTCATAGGTGCGGCGTTGACGATTCGGCAGTAGACAGAAGACCAACTGGGTCATCTTCCCTCCGACTAGGCCATGGATGACGTACAGCTGATCCCAGAGAGGAGGACAGGAGTAGAAGGTGCCGTCCATGTAGAGGGTGTCCACTTCTTGCAGGAGGGTCAGGCGGTCACTTGTGGCGAAGCAGAGAATCTTGTCATCATCACCGTCATCAATGCAGAGGAAGGGCAGTCCATCTGTAGTCTCCCTTGAAGAAGTCGGGTAGATTCACCTCGCTGAGCGTCTGGGGAAGTGGCGGCATCATCTTCCGTCTCTGCTTGTAGAGTCCACTCTTCATAGAATGGAACGACTTGACTGTTGCTGCTTCACCTCGGTCAAGTCGGGAAATCTCCTCATCGTAGATCACCTGAACTGGCGTCGTCTCAGTCTGTACCCGCTGCCTCAGGGAACTGGCAATCTTCAGGGCTACCTGGTCTTCTTGTGGGTGGTTGTGTGGGGTCTGATTCCGAACAAACTGTCCGACTGTCGTACACTTGCCAAAGCAGCCACCTTGAACACACTTCCAGTGTACACACGTCTGTCGCCTGTTGTTGAGTCTGTAGCGGTATCCCTCCAAGAGTACCTGCTGTCCTCCTTTCTGTGATGTGAAGTATTCGACTTTCTTGGGATTTGCCATGATTTGCAATGAAGATTTGTATCACAAGCATTTTAAAGCAATACATTTCCTTCTCCCTTTAATAATCTCTCAATTAATTACTCTATTCTTCAATTTTAAAGCAATACATTTCCTTCTCCCTTTAATAATCTCTCTATTAATTACTTTACTCTTCAATTTCCTTCTCGTGTGTGTGAGAACTAAATGCGTATGGAATTATCAAAACATAAGCTAGCTAACGATTTAATACTCTTGATCTTACTCTTTACTCTCCTTGCTGGCCTCCCCTAATCCCTTTGTAGGCAATAGTGCACACTAAGTGGAACAATCTACTTGTGTGCAGGTAAGCGTATCGCTGTCACTGCAAACGTTGTAGCTATTATTCCCTGTAGGCATTATTCACTGTAGGCATTAGTAGACCTAACCTATAGAATGTATAGAGTGAGTCGGATATTTTAACTATTGTATTACGTTGTGAACACTATGCTGTTTGGGACCGTTACAGAATGCAGACTGTATGAACAATCTAGTGATGTGTAGTGTACTGAACTATTGTTGTGTACATTGGAATATGTGTCGCGATTAATGTAGTATGTGTCGTGTGTAACGAATCTACATGTAATGTTTAATTACTTTGATAGCTGATTGCTTTGTTAACATGTTCTAATAATTATTATAAACCATACCATTATTGATTGATTATGTAAAATCGTTCAGTGACTGCTGTGTAATAAACTCCTTGTTTATTTTACTCCGGTGTTGTGTTGTGTGGGGGTTGGTATGGGCAGACCTCTTGCCAAGCGAGCTGATTCCCCAAAACTCGCGTTTTAATATATTTATATAATTATGTATGTTTAACTGCAGGGAGACCGAGGTCAGTTGTAACACTTTTTACTTAACTTGTTGTAATTCGATACCAGTCGACCGCTCACACAATTAATCGGTATTAACTAGTACATTGGCATCTTGGTTATAAACCTCAGTATCATTTAAAGTTCACTATCATGTCTTTACAAAGTTATTACGTGTCAAATGCAATGACTGCAAGCGTTACAACTGACCCCGAGCACGGGGCAATTGTAACAAAGAAGGTTCAAATGTAACAATCTGTTTATTTTCCAAATAAACTCAAAATAAAATGTGGAAAGATGTTATCTTGATCAACTGAGTTGGAAGATTAACATTACACCTTTGTCACCATCGGCATTTAAAATGTTTTTGGTTTAAAATTCTTAGTTTCGCTGCCAAAATTATAATGCAAAGACTAAAACCAAAACATTCACCCGAAGGCTAAAACTATCAAATAACACTGAAAATGTTCTACTAT